AGGAGGAGGAGGAGGAGGAGGAGGAGAAGGCGGCGGAGAAAGAGACGCCCTTACCATCGAGTTACTCCCACTAAACAGCTCAATGTCGATCTTTTTGAGTACGAAGTCAAACTGGAGGGCCTTGTCGTGAACTTTTGGCGACGGAGAGGAATCGGCGGTGACTGCAGCCACTACATTGGATTTCTTCGTCGAAGGAGGCCGCTTGCCAGCGGTGGCGGCGGCGGCGGCGGCAGTACCAGTTGGCTGACCTTCTGGCAAAGTGGGAGAAACGACGGTCGTTGAAGACGCTCCTGTTGGTTGGCCCTCGGCAAAGTTGTCAGTCATGACATCGTTTATGAGTTGGTAGTCTCCGTGTGTTACTTGTAGCTGTGGTGTGTAGCAATGGAATATCGGAAGTTACGTCAGCCTGTGTGGCCACGTTATAAAAACGGTGGGGGCGTAGTCACTCAGAGTGAGCATTCACGATGTGTAATATTGACGGCTAATGGAATTAGACCCGGCTTTGAAAGTAAATATCCGGCAATTTCAACTGACAAAGAATCCCATTAGTTGCCCAGGCAACGGTATAGTGAAGGGTCCCACTTAACTGTCGGTAGACTGTGGATCGTGTAATATGAGATTTTATCTTGACGTCCACTTGCAGGCCGTTGCGGACACTGCACTGACGACAACCAGTTACTCCCCATGACCTCAAACCATTATTGGAACTCCGTCATTTTTTGAAAACTGGCTTTATATTTATTTTTTAATTAACGCGCTCCTTACCGTTGCCGTGCGAAAGCGTACGATAAGACTTTCGGCAGAATCCAGACAACTTCTGTGTTTTTTTGCATTCCATCAGCTTACTGTCTGGGTGCCGCCCCCTCCGTAAAACCCTCATTACCACCATTCCCATATGACATGATGCACAGTCTACGGACAGTTAAGTGGGGCCCTTCACTATATCGTTGCCGGCCCCCAGGCGGAGGATCGGGTTATCACGCCAGTTGAAGGAGGACCTGCCTCCAAGGAATGCACCTAAAAACGTCAGCGGCATTCGGAAAACCTATAAACTTAGGCGCAATGCTAGTAGCAGGTCCCTGCACTGAATGACAACTATTCGTTAACTCAGCTAAGGCCGATCACGTTCTCAAACTCGCAGACCAACAATCAAGATTTCTATTTCCGCAGGAGTGCATTTTCTTCCTTACAAGGCACGTGTAGTTTTAAACTACTCCATGTTCCGGAAAGGGGTGGTGTGGCCCTCATTTCTGAGAAGAAACCGCCGAGAAGGACGGTGTATCCATTGAAGTCTATATGTCTTGAGTTAGTAATCTGGCGCCTTGGGGTGATTTTAAGAGTATATGACTAGTGCTCAGTCCTTCTTCAATCCGGCTTAACGGAAAGAGCATGTAAGAACTACCGAAGCATCAATTCAATGGGGACCGCTCCTAAAGAGTCTTGTCATAATCATTTCTAGGCGATTTGAAGGTCTTCGTTATGCAAAGGCATGTCTCAAGTAAGCCGGGTTCCTTGATGATCATCTTCGAATTCCACCACATGACAGCTCTCAACAGTGCTTTAACAGTACATTCTAAATCACGATATATATGGGCGTTACCGCCAGGTGACAGTTCAACTGTCGCATTCGGAGATATCCACTGTGTGCTCAACAGCAAGATGCAGCAGGCACGGTGACTTGTGCGTGAATGAGTTTATAGTGAGTATGGACTTGCGAAGCAGCTACCACACACCTCCCCCCCACCTGAGCCCGGTGTCAAGACAGAGTCAAGGAGGCCGGGGGCGGGAGGGGGCGCAGTTGGCTGGCGCGACCGAGCCCGCACCTTGGCGTTCCACTCCACACCGCCTGGTCTACACAACTGACCAGGACTTCAACTAACAACAACAACAACAACAACAACACGATGGGTCAGAAGGAGGCGGATTACTGGGCGACCATGCTCACGACCTGTATACTCAGCGGAAGCACAAGCGCATCTGCCGGCAGGGCGTTAGGTACCGGAGAACTGCCGGCGCATACCAGGTAGCAAGGGCCATGGCTTGCTTATCCTGGTATAGTAGACGTTTACATTCCTTGAGGCCCTACCGCTAGTTGGCATGCTGCAGTCAGTCGCTGGCACCGTATTCCGCAGAATGCTCAAAGGAACTCTTCTATCAGATGAGCTGGAAACATTCTGCACTGCTATGCGCTTAGCAAGAGACTATTTCGACAAAAAAGACCTTTGTTCTGCAGTCTTGAACGGTGACCGCACAAGTGCGCTGAATAAATGCAAAAAGTGGAAGTCAGAAGGGACATGGCCGTATCCGCCGCCTTACGTGAATACACTCGAGGACACCAGTGACCTCCAGTAGGGGTATACCATCGTCCATAGAGGCCACCACCTTGCGCTTCAGACTAATTTGCAGGTTGATCGGTAGTATCACATGTCTCTCGGCCTTAATTCCCCCGTCCATGAGGAGCGCCCTAGAATGAAGAGGGAATAGAAGAAGAGATAGGCGTCACGGGGACTGAAATGCAGACGGGTTCTAATGGAAAACAGTAGGAAAACCAAGTTAACCGAAACCGGATGTAAACATGAAACGGCAAATAGGATGCAGAAAGGACTATTAACGGGACGGAGGTTGGTCGAAGGAGTCCTGACGCACGTTCTCCGAAAATGCAATACGGAGATGGGGGATCGACGGGCGCCATCAAGGTTCCGGGCGAAGAAGCCCCTAGAGGAGGGTGTGTATTCAGAAATCGAGCCATAAACAGACACAGGTGGTTGCTCTGAGGTCAGAAAATATGAATTTTCAGCGGTCAGACTTCTGCGAGCACCCGTTCGCCTCCAAACGATAGACAATGCTTTTTACTTACAAAGAAAATTTTACCACTCAAGCTACGTTAACGTCTGATCACATGTTAATAACTGCGCTAAAGCCTCTAACTCGATAAAACTAAGACGCTAGGGATGACCTTGACTTGAAAAGATAGGTTCTACTCCGCCGGAGGTAAATTTGAAGGCAGACTTGCCAAAAGGACTCTGAACCCAACCGGCAGGTCAAAAAACGTCTTAGGACCTGAAAGAGTGTCCAAACACAGACCCGCAAAAACGGCAGAAGACCTTGTCTACGACATGATACCAGGGTGTGCGTAAAGTACCAAGACTGTGATTGAGTTTTCGTTAAGAAAGCAAGGCACAGTAGGTGACCCAACTCGTACAATGTTAACTGCAATTTTGTACTACGGTTTCAGCTAAAAAAGATTGCCCACTTGAGGTTTCAAAGCTTATTAGCACGTATCATAACCTGAGGACATTTCATACATACCGGAATGATGGCTGTTAAATGGTCGTTCTTTCGGTCATCTACAAAAGCCACACTCGTCAATATGCATTTTCTTCACACTTTCTAGAAAACGTGCATAAAAGCTTCATCTCATGCTCCCCTTGTCGTAAATCGCGTCTTGTCCAGA